AATTTGTGAGTCGTAGTTGATATGATTCAATTTTTAGCATCAACAATTATCATCACAGATTTGAAATACGTGAATGCTGACTTGAATCGGTGGATTATTTTCTTGAACTTTAGGACCCCGACATAAATATTTCAGTCTGTTTCCCAACTTTTGCAAAAAATTTACATTTAGATGAAAATTACAAACAAATTGAGCACAGCAAACCCTTCTCTTTTTTAATGAAAATAATGATTAAATGGCTTTCTTATGAAGAATAAAGTCCCAAAAAAGTTCAATTTCAGAACATTGTCAAGTATAGGATTGAAGTATTTTCTTCAAAATTTACATTTCTTGGTTGCTGTGGAGATTTGTGGCCTTCAGATCAATCAACATTTTGAGATTATTTTGGCTTATAAGTATCATTCTATTGCATTTGGACGAGAAAAGAATATTGTTGGAAACAAAGATTTGTAACAAAATAGGGTTTAAATATATTGTTACAAAATGTGATTTCAATATTAGTGTATATCAGATACATAAGTCAGTAATCTTTGACTGACTAGTTGTAGGATTAATTTTGTCAATATGTAACATCTGGTAGACTAGGAGGGAATTATGAATGTACAGTGGACAGCACTGACATCTACTTCTCCCGGTTAACAAGTATTAAACAGTTTAATGGCAGTCTAATAAACTGAAGTCCACCCTGATAAGAAACTCGACCAATAGACATTAGATGGTGACATTTCCATGACGAGATCTTACAAAATAGGAATAAAAGAAGGGGGGTTTTTGGGGTGGGGAACAGAGCCCTATGGACAGACAGGGAGATAGCTCACCAGCCCTATGGACAGACAGGGAGAGAGCTCACTAGCCCTATGGACAGACGGGTTACACCATGATGAACAGTATGAGGAGCGGGTATTTTAGTGTATACCTTAGAAGTACTGTTTTTATACAGGGACAGTTCTGATATGAGACACAATGTGAAGTACTAGTATGAGTATATGAGCGCTGTATGTTGATGAGATGTTGCTTTTGTACATGTAACATTATTATTATTCAACATGTAATAAACATGGCTATTACCAACAAGTACGTGTGTTTACGCCTACTGTGTTACAGATTGCCTCAAAAATAACCATGTACACATGTTATTCATACAAAATTAGAAAGGAAAAATGCATATTTCCTATGATATACCCTTACACAACAACACACAAGTGCAACAATATATTACTTCTTTGCTTTTTTGCTCCAAAATTTTCAAAAACAATCACAACCCAAACAAAAATTTTAGAATTTTTTAGCATAATTTTACCAGATGCTCTGGACTCTTGACTTATTATAAATCAGGTATTGTATTTCAAGCAAGGGTAAACATATTTTAAATGACAGGTTCTGCCAAGATATGACTGAACAAGAAAAGAAACTTTGACCAGGGTAAAGATGATTGTAATTTGAAACAATCTACTGCAGTAAATTTTACCAACAAGAAAGCATCACTTTATCCCCTGCATGCCCCGCTAAAAAGACACAAAATCATATATTCATATGCTAGTATTTTAACTTAAATTTCTTTTTGTTATTTTTGATAGGTCCATACAAATTAATGAAACAGAGAATTTCTACTAGAGTACTAGTTTGATATCTGTACAAAGTTTTGAGTAATAACCTTGCGCGGTTTAAGAGAACTGGCCCCACTTGTATAAAACATCTCAACTTGAGATTTCCTCAAGTCAAGATTTTCCTCAGCTGATATCTCCTCAAAAACGGCTTGTATAAAATTTTCTCAAGGAACAGGAGGAAGGCATCGGTTAGGATGTCCTGAAATTCCTTGAGGAATTTTCATGCAAGATAATTTCAAGGAGATATCAGCTGAGGAAAATCTAGACTTGAGGAAATCTCAAGTTGAGATGTTTTATACAAGTGGGGCCTGGTCTGAAAAAACTGAAATTTGTGATGAAAAGTATTTAAATGGAGAACTTCCCCAAAGCAAAAGAGACTACTGCTATACTAGCTGAATAACTGTAAAATATTTTGAGTATTTATCTTGAATGGTTTCAGAGTACTGGTCCAGAAAATGACCTTGTACACACTGACAGAGCCCAATTTAATATCTCCCACAGGCGTATTTCAGGTGGGATAGAAATAGTGAAAGACAAATGTGTAAAAATATAAACTTATAATCAGCTTATGATTTATATTGAGTTAATCAAACTCAAAATCAATATTGTTCTTCTTCACTGAAGACACATGTAGTTACTTTTAATCAATTTCTAATGTCAGTAGTTCAAAGGTCAAGGAACACTTGGTCATTTTCTCCTTGTAATTTTTTCAGTTTTCTTGTAAATCTTTCTTTTGTTCATATTTTGCCTTAGATTATGTGAATTTGAGTTTGAACAATGGTTGATTTCACCTCTTGGAATTTTCTTGTTGTTTTTGCAGATGATACAACCACTTCTTTTAAAATCCAGACATACTGAATGGGCTGAACAAGCAGGTCACATTCGACAAAGTTTATAATAATAATAATAAAGGAAATGAAGGAACATTCAGCAGATATCTCTGAGAATGTTAAGGTACAATAAGCTTTACTGACACTAGAAAACATCAGTATGAATTAATATCCTGCTTCCTTTCATTTACCTGCCATAATTTAATGCAGTGTGATACCTTTTTACCCTAGACACATTATCACATTATCTCATTACCTATTACATGGGATTCTTACAAATCCGAAGCAAAATTAATCATTGAAGTGTGCATCACTCTCCTGACATGTTAATTTTTACCTTTAATTTTCCATCTCACAGTCATTGTAAACAGAGGCATATACGTCCCTGACAGAGGTAAACTGACATTAAATTATGACCATTGGTATCGCCACCAAAAGAATCCTTTTCACATACTGACAAGTTATAAACAGTTAAACTTGAGGTAAACCGACATTAAATTATGACCAACGGTATCTCCACCAAAAGAATCCTTTTCACATAAGTGACAAGTTATAAAATTCTAGTTACTCTTGATTTACATTTGGTTTCGCGAATAAGAATTTAACACACACACACACACACACGTTCACTCGTCCCATTCTTGCCCCTAAAGGTCATGCTGACACCGGACATTCCTGTATTAAAGTCTGATATGACGAATCCTCTCCGTTTTTTTCATTTTTCTTTTGGTTTCTTCTCCGTTGTCGGACAAAAGGGATATGGCTTAAAATATTTGTCACGGGTCTTTTCAAGAGCGCCATCATCGATAATTACTGTCGCCATCGAAAATACAAATGTGATTTTGAATGCATCACGGACGAAAACAGGGGTGACTTTCATTAAAAACATTGTTTTAAAAACAACGAATTTAACTTACCTTATTCTCTTCTAGTATATATGTACATAGTCAGTGATGTGCTGGCAGAGGTCAGCGCTGCAAAGCCCACTCATACCTTTCCCGCCATTCGTGCAAGCAGAAGTTGTGCAACTTGTGGCTAAAGCGAGATAACTCTTAAACGCAGACTACGCTTATTTAAGTAACAGTGTATGTGTCGATTTTTTTTTTTTATCTGACACATTTTTCTGGGTCATTATCACACTCAGATAGTCACAATCTATCTCTTATTTTATCATTTTAAAACTGAAAATTGATCGTGAGTATGTCTGAAGTTTACCTGTACGGGCAAATAACAACCGATATACAGTATATATATATATATATATATATATATATATATATATATATAGTTTTCAACGCATTAAAAAGATCGGGATAGACCCATTTATGTAGTTGCTGTATTATAAATTAAATTCCGACCACAAGTGTTCTTTCCGGATGATATACATGGCTATCTTCTTACAAATTTTCAGTTCTGCTTGACACCCCTTTCCTATGATAAATATCTTGACAGAGTTTGATGGAGCTACCTATGGCTTCCAACTACAGTTCGTTCGTTAGTGAAAATTTTATGCTTACGTTTTACACAGCCTTATAGTTGGGACATATAAAGTTTGGAGTGATCAAATGTGAAAGGAAATGGAATTGAAACTGACAGTACAGAAAATTTATAAACGAGGACGAACGGACGGGAAGACACTATAGATACGTATTTCAAATATATGATATACATTTGTAAGTATTTTCCCGAGAGAAACACCACTCCAGACTAGCGAAAAAATCAGTTTAAAAAATCCGAGTTTCTACGTTCCTCCGTTTAAGGCTAAAAATGATGAGTTACTATCCTTTACGGGTAAAAGATTAGATATTTTGTAGAATAAAGATATTATACTTTATAATGCAGGTCTATTGAAGAGCTTACTTGGTCAAGGGTTGACAAATTTCCCCTGTTTCTACTAACACGTGTTTAGTCCCTGTTTCAATGTTACATGGTATTTGCTTTCGCGACTGCGATAACGCAGTAGATTAGAGCGAGCATTGGTCCGAAGATCGGACGATAATTCTTAAGCCAACAAACAAACGAATCCATAGGGATGGCATGCGTCTGCCTATTTATATATATATATATATCTTATGATTATGGAAGCGTATAACTGCTGTCTTCGTTATCTTATTTTTGATCAGCATATGACAACAATACGTTTCCGTATTTTTTTTCCGGTACAACGATGTATAGTGATGTATTGTTATTTTCAGTTTTGCCTTTACGTTAGGATTTCAGCTAAAGAGGTTAAAAAGGTTAAAATCCGTTGCACTTTTTCGGCTAAAAAACAGAAAATTAAAAAGAAGAAAGCTGTCGTTTATGAGGTATTTTCTTACAGACAAGTTGAGGAAAACTTTAAATAAATAATTTATAACGACTGAGGTTATCTTATGTTCAATATTTGCAGGTTTCTTTCGCGGGAAAGTAACAACAACAAAAAAAAGAAACCGCGCCGTACGTCCTTAACGCTACTCACGTAATTGATGGTAAAGTTCCGGGGAGCTCCGATGAATGAAAACCACAGGAATGACGTAAAATGTTTTGATCACATGACCGTACCTGCGCCAGCAATGGTTCTGCTATGGCGGCCTCCAGCGTATCCGAGTTAGGGTGCACAAATGCTACTGATTCCATGATGACTGGCAGTCCACAGCTTCCACGCTCAAAAATTAGCGAAATCCATTCTTCGGAACAGACAGGCGTGCCTTTGAACACCCCTTGGACATTTTGGCTCGATAAGTATGATGTTTCATTAGATCGACAGTGTTGACATACCAGAAAATTGGTCAAGGTTTGACGGGTGGTCTGACTAAGGCCTACTTTCTCTTTAGAGTATTTTGACACAAGTACGTTATCTATATATTATATGTTCGAGAATTTGATTGTCATAACTCATTCAAATATGTGATATTTGTAAATTATCACCGTATGCAAAATGACTATTCATTCAGTCTGAGATTGCATTCGAATCTGACCCAAATCGTGGTGCCAAAACAGATGTGTATTTTGGATGTCGACAGGGGTCACTCGGTGCATGTCTGTGGATCTCAATCTGACAAAAATGTGGACTATCTCTCTGCAGACGACAGCTTTAGGTCATGTTGATTGTTGAATGATTTATAGCCAAACATTTAACAGGGCACGGCAGTAAATTACAGAGAAAAATGGCGATCAAAATCTGAAATATGTTTCATTGTAAATTGAAACTGAATTCACCTACATTAAATTACTCATACTTAAGAAGAAGTTTTAGTCTGCCTGATTGCATTGGCAAGTATACTCATATGGATCCTGTAAAAAGTTTCTTGTCATGTTGGACTTTTAACAATGTATACATAACATCAAATGAGCGTATGCTTATGTATTTACTAAGTATTTGTATGTGGAAAATTTAATCTTTGTACAGTACCTGTGTAATTTGGTGAGTTGGTCGACTGGGTTGTACCTTGTGTCAGCCGTAGTCGTTTTTGAGACATGCGTAGTCTAAGCTGTACTTAACTGAACAAAGTAGGGGAGGTCCATCACTCGCATTTCAGAACAATCAGTCTAAAGTGTATTGCCCAATTTAGTCAAAACCATGACAGTTTATAAACATCTGTGATCTTGTCTTCATGAGAAACACAAACCACATTGAGTAGGGGTCGTTTGTGGTTTTGAAGAAGCTAATGTCACAGTCTGTCCAACATGATTTCTCCTTCAATGTGCGACAAGCCTGATTAATGATATAATCTATAAAAAAAATTATGCTTTCGCATAAAATTCCTCATCAGATTACACATGACATGATCAGCTGTTGATCTGGTATTTATATATAACTGTATCTATCAGTAATATTGAATATGGGTTTAATTTCAATACACAATTCTCATCAACACATTCTTGTGTTTGGTAATAAAAAATAAGAGAGCTATAGATAGGTTACATATTTATTGGGCTGTATGAATTAAAACTTTTATATACTTTCCCCACAGGTCTATTCCAGGTACTTCAGCTGCCCAGTACGAAGCAACACTGAGGAAACTGTATACTGTCAATACAGTACAGGTAATTACACTGGATCTGAAAGCATGCAAAACATTAAATCGTGAAGTTGTTTCGTACATAACTCTGAAGTACAGCTGGCAGCTTGTGACCTCTGACTCAAAGTCCAGGAGTGAGATTAACAGGATAACAGATTGGTTAGGAATTCTACATAACAGCAGTTAAAAATATATAACTAGGCTTATTACTAGATATGATAGAATCACAGCCACTATAAATATACATGTTATTATTTCATACATTGAGTGTCAATGGTTAGTTCATGATTCAGTGAGAATGCCTGGAATGGGTTAAAAAAATCAATAACCAACTGATTATAATTTTCAAATAAGGAGTGGGGGGGGGGGGGGGTGAGGGGGGGTGTCACCTTATTATGAATGTTTACCTAAAGCTTGATTATACCTACCAACTACAATGTGTATATATGTTATTGATGCCTTGGTGCCAGATGAATGCTGATCAATATTGTAAAACACTGCACAGCACAATTTATTGGTATTTGGTGTACTCTGTCATATAAAAATCGATAAGGAAGTGCCACCAGCTAAACCTAAAACTCTTCCATAATTTTTAATGGATTTATATAACAAAGACATAGCATGCTGACTTTGGGCGATCTATATGTACATATGTATGATGAAATGAAATAAATGTTGTGGCATTGTCTAGAAATCCACATGAATCAGTCTAAATGGAGAGTTTAGTCAACTCATCAATTTTGAAGTGATCAACTACCTAAAGATAAGTTGATGTAACTCTTGTAGTTCATAAATGATACAAGATTTTTACAAGTAGTTATTATCGGCTTACCAGGGAAATTGATGTGTTTATAATCAAATTTAGATTAAAGCATGATTTGATTATAAACACATCAATTTTCCTGGTAAGCCTATAATAACTACTTGTTATAGTAAATACAGATGTATATTATGATATATAACTAAGGAATATATACATAATTATTCTTCTGTCAATTCAGCAATTTTGTCTTTTTTACATGCATTTCATGAAATTCAACATTTTAGTTTATTATTATTAGTTATTATTGTTGAATAATATACATGTACATTACTTAATGATATATATACTCTTTATTTTAAACAGAGTTATGGTTCTTTGTGGTCAATCTGATCCACCTCACTATTAAGACCACCTCGCTATTAAGACCACTTTTGTCCAGTCCCCAAAGTGGTCTTAATAGTGAGGTTTCACTTATAAATATAAATCCACATCATATAATTTACTTTTTATACTAATGTCCAGGACATTTTCAGGAATGTGAAAATTATTAAGAAATAATAACTTCTGTAGTTGAATAACCACTCTATCAAGGCCTTTTCACTTTCAGTTTTACTTTCACTTTCTATTTTCACTCTACAACCTCAGTAGGTCAAGTATTATGAATTGCAGCTACTGTTTTGTCTACCTAGACAGGACTTATTCCTTTACTTATAACAAGTAAATGTGAAGAAAAGTTGAGTTCTTCTCAATATTTCAGCATGAATTGTTCAAAAGGAGTACCAAGGTATCAAACAAAATTTTTGTTCTGCAAAATATGTGTGAAATTATTATTAAAAAAGACGCAGCTTCACAAATGATTCCTATGAAAACTTTATACAACTAACAGCTGACATCATGTTTAAAACTAATCAATGCAACCTATCCTCATATATATACACAAGTGACCAAAACTGTTGTAATGAAGTTGATAATTAGTAAGGGATATGTAATAATACATGTACAGATTCTCTACGTTGTAAACAAATGACCTGACATTTTGGGGCACTGCTTGTGGATACTTATATATGTGTTTTGTATTTCTGTTTAGGGTTTCTGGGCTGTCTATAACAATATACCAGGTGTTGATAGGCTGAATGTGAGATATACCTACCACCTGATGCGGGATGAACGCAGACCTTTGTGGTAAGCTATATTTCATATACTGACCTCTCTGACATGTCCGGTAAAATCATATTGCATCTGTTCAAAACCTTAGAAATTCCATTGAGAGTTAGTGTAAAAAAAAAATTCATCTGTTTCACAAGAATTGCAAATATTAGAATTAAAATTTTCTTCAATGAATAAGCATCATAGAAAAAGAGAATGGGAGAATGGGTGAGAATGTAAAGAATCTCGCATAGTTACCCTCAAATAATCCTTACTCAGATCTAATATAAGTTTGCTATGGTTCAATATGTGACATAAAAATTCAGCCACATTAATTTGTGTAAGACATGGATAAATTACTTGCTTTGAATATTTTGAGGCCTTTAAATTCTATTTACGAATCAGTGTACAATAGAGTGACATGTACACACCTGTATATGAAACCACCACAAACTGCATTTCAATATTGAAATACCAATAACAAAAGTGTATTTAGCTGTGTTCAGTTGTAACAAACACTCAATCACTTATTCATTTATCAAATTCTCTATGAATTTCGATGTTTGACGTTTATAGAGATATTTAGGGCCCCACATCGCGATGCGGGTGCCCTATAGTAATCACCTTGTCCGTCTGTCCGTCTGTCTGTCTGTCTGTCTGTCTGTCTGTCCGTTTCGCTTTCCGCACGATATCTTGAGAAGGAATGATGAGATTTCGATGAAACTTGCTTATGATACTAGGTACATAAGTCCCTTGCTCAAGTTCGATGTTCGCCAAATTCCGCGCATATTTAATGAGGCTGCTGCAATCTGATTGGCTGAATGTTTTACATGTCTGTCGGTTTCGCTTTCCGCACGATATCTTGAGAAGGAATGATGGAATTCCGATGTTTGAGGTTTATAGAGATATTTTACTTAATTTACATGAAATTGATTTATTGTTAACATGAACACTTTATGGTTTCTTATTTTTGATATTCAACATTTTTAGGGAAGATGTAAATAATTGCCACGGTGGAAACTGGAGGTTGAAGTGTAATAAATTTGATTCAGTAAGTATTGTTTGTATGAAGTGGATTATATGTAATGTAGTAATCTGCCTAAAAGGTTTGATTTACTCACCACTCTCAGTGACTGGCGTATCTTCGTTTAGCATAAGACCTGGTCATTATGATATGCTCAGTAATTCAATGCTAAAAATATTAAGTGAACTTAAAGAAGTGATGGTAGTTTAAACTATATCAAATTTTAAATATTCTTGTTCTCTTCCATACTTCAAAAAGATATATGACTTTGTAGATATGCAGTTGTATGTAAAATTGAAAACAGTCATTTAATACACTAAAAGAGCATACCAAGTATAAAATCTTCAGGATTCTACCAATAATTCCTTTTTCATCACCACTGAATTTCAGCCTACAGTATGGAAGGAACTGTTACTAGCAGCTATTGGGGAACAGTTGTCCGATAACATGGCGGATGGTAAGTCAGACTACCTGTTTCCATTATTTTTAACCATTAATGAGATCAAGTCTTTCTTAAGCCACAATAGAAAAGTGTATAAGTGGAAATCCAGGCAAATATATCATGGTGAAAGATAAAGAAAAAAAATACAGATAAAAAATTGCTTAGGAAATGAAAAGTGGAACTGCATACTGCTTCAGTATCTGATTGGTGAGGTGGGAGGCTAGATATGTTTTAGCTTTAGTTTTCATCGGATTGGTTACAGGAAATGAGGTGGGAGGGGTTTACAAATCAAATTATCACCTGATTGGTTACAGGAGATGAGGTGGTAGGATTGTACATATCATTGTGTCATCTGATTGGTTAGAGCAGACGAGTTGTATATAAAAATAGTGTCATTTGATTGGTTTCAGGAGATGGGATTGGAGGGCTGGACAAATTATAGCATTATCTGATTGGTTACAGGAGATAGGACGGGAAGGCTTGACATAGTATCATTTAATTGGTTACAGGAGATGGGGTGGGAGGGCTGTATATGATAATAGTGTCATCTGACTTGTTACAGGAGATGAAGTGGGAGGGCTGAGTATCAGTGTAAGAGAGAGAGATGACATTATTCAGATCTGGAATAAGCAGTCAAACCTCCATGAACAGTCCACTATTGTTGCCAAGGTGAAGGAGCTTCTCCCTAATGTCAATTTTACTGCAGTCTTTTACAAAGGTAAGGTTTATACATACTTCATAGAAGTTTTGTTATATATCATAATGACTTTTGATTATTCAGTTCATCTAGTGTGGACCTTTCCAGAGTTCAAAAACTATTATTTTCTCATTGAATTTTGCATCTAAAATGCACTAGACCGAAATGGTATTCATTTGGTCTAGGGCATTTCCTAGTTGGCAGTTGACACATGAGGAAACAATCATAATAAGTAGAGGTGAAGGACTAGTACAACAAATGTAGGAAACAATTGAAAATTGATTTATTAAGGTACACTTTCAGGTCTGTTGGGACCTTTAAACCAAAATCGGTTTTGAACATCTTTAGCAATGTCAATAAACGTGTTAACAGAGGTATGGCACCCAACTGCTTCCACATTCCTGAGATCAGGAAAAAAGGTCCAGTAATGAACAAGGAAAAGTGAATGTTGAATAACTTTCTCCTTGACTATAGATAAAGGGATTGAGACATCCTTTTTGGACCAACTGTTTTATCAAAACAAAAGCTTTGTCCCTCTTGACAACAACCTCACTTTATTATCATATACATAATAATGTAACCTTTTTATGCACATGGACTTAAAAGACTACCACTGAGACTTACTTATAACCTCCTAGCTGGCTGTCCATATCTAGACATGGGGAGAAATCAAAATATTGTCTCTCTGTTTTCATGTTGTGTAGGGTTTATAAATATCCATGGTCTTTTGTTTGCAGCTTTCCAAACACACCAAGCATTTGAAGGAGAGAAAAGACTTACCTGAACTTTTCATTAACCCTACAGACAAATACTATTCTGTTGGAAAATGAAATGGAGCAAACATTTTGTGACAGTCTATGGCAGATGTTCTGTTGGTGCTTCTCGTTGAGAAAGTTGAGATTTAAATGCAGTGTCCAAGGAAAGGATAAAAAAATGAGTATACCTATTGAAAAAAAATGTGTGTGTTTCTACCGGTAACCATTCTATGTTGAGGGCGCAAATGTATGTGGGTGATTCCTATTAAAAAGATATGAACACTCTCCAATCTTATATCGATACATGTAATTATGTCACCATAGACATTGTGCTGACATCACAAATTCATTGTAAAAAATTGAGTGATTTTTTTGGCTGATGTTTAATCATATTGTGAAAGGACATGATTAAGTTAAGTTCATGTCATTTCCGCTTTTAATATTGCAGATAACAAAAAATTATACTAACGTGGGAAATCCTGGAGGAAACTTTTGTGGGATAATGTTTTATTTTAGTGGTGATGACAAATCCTATGTTATAATCCATCTGAAATCCATGTTATGACCAACATCTTTCCTAGTCAGGTTTCATATCAGACAAGAAACAAATGAACTTTGGGAGATAATTTAGGGAGAGTCTTTCTAAACTTAATCAGCACAAGCTTATCTGGGCTGTATTAAAGAGATCAGAATTTCTAAAACATTTGAAAGTTTTGAATACAATGTCATGCAAATTGAGAATTTTAATAGGTATGTTTTAATTGTGCTCTTTTAATACTGTTTGAATATTTGTGTTAAAATGGTTCAAACATAGTATATACAGTTGTGATTATTCGGCTTCTGTGAGTTGTTTTGTATCTGTGATATTTGCAATGTTTAATTATAGTGATTACAGCCGTATTTAATTTTTTAAATCGTGGAAGTTTTAATATGCAATTATTTTAAGACTGATTTCATTTAAACATGAAGAACAGTTATACTTTATCTGTTCAGTAAATTTTATACTTACCTGTACTAAAGAATTTTTTTTTTATTTCAAACCTATTGTACACCAAGAGAGTACCAGTATTCAGTTGCTTTACTTGTGAACTGTTGTTTGATCCCCAGCAGGTAACTAGTGAAACCACTATTTGATCACCCGTCCACTGATAGCTAGAGGTTCACTGACCAGCCACTGGTTACTAGAGGAACATCACTTAATCACCCACAGGTAACTAGGGGAACCAGTGTTTGATCACCCGTCCACTGGTAACTAGAGGTTGACTGTTTGACCAGCCACTGGTTACTAGAGGAACCACACTGTTTAATCACCCACAGGTAACTAGGGGAACCAAAATGTTTGATCATCCACAGTTACTAGGGGAGCTACACTATTTGATCACCCACTAGTAACTAGGGCAACCACATTGTTTGATCACCCACTAGTAAATAGGGCAATCACATATAAATCACAGTCCAATTTTCTCTTATTACTTTTCAAATTTACTAGATAGTCATGAAAAATATTGAAATTCTCCTCCTTAACTTATTTCTCTGACTCAACCTGAAATACAACTTAAAAAGGTTCCAGTCATTCTGTCTGACTGAGAACATGGCATGGAGGATATCTCTCAAGCCAGACATGATTGACTTAACAGGCTCCAGACAGGTGATAGCTCTGGAGCCAGACACAGATGATATCTTTGGGGCCAGGTATGAAGGATACCTGTGGGCCAGGCAAATATATCTGTGGGGTCAAACAGTTGATATCTCAAGGGCCTAGCATATAGGAAACGTCTCGAATTCGGCCACTTTTATAGGATGTCTCCAATGCCAGGCACCAGGAAATCTCTGAGGCTAGGAATGGAAGATTTTACCCAGTGTCCAGTAATGTTGATTATGTAATCACACAAATTTTTCAGCCAATGAAATTAGTGTTAACTAGATTGGTCTGTTCTGTCATGTCCTGTTGCATCCTGTTTTGAACCAATGTTAAATCTTGAGAACCTTTCATCAGATTTGGTTTACAATTACTTAATAGTATTATAGCATCATGTTGAACGCTTGCTGTGACTGATTCAAGCTATTTATATGCAAGTTCTACACAGTGTTATATTACGGCAGTCAGTGTCAAGATTAAAGGGTCAAAAGTCACTTTTGACAACTTTGCGAATTCCTCAAACAAGGATACATATGTACATGGGAGTCTGGCATTCATAATTTACAACGTATAGTTTTTGTCAAAAGTATTTGAATCTATATATAATACAGGATTTTATTTAGAAATCATTATAAAAATGTTGGGAAAAAATTGTTGCAGAAGAAAATATTTTTCATATGAAAGTGAATATAGCAGGAAATAATGTACATTTCTATTTTTCATTCTTGATATCATCCACCTTTCTTCAACGAATATCATATCATGGGGAATTATCAGATTATGCATATCCATTGGCTCTTGTGAAGCATTTATTATTTGTTTACAGCTTGGATGGCAAGGATGGATTTCGTGGGATTTTCGTTTTTTTTTTTTTTTTTTTTTTTTTTTTTTTTTTTTTAATTTTCATTTTCAAGTCTATGCATTCCTTGCCTTCAGTAGAATCATTCCTGTATATATCTACCAAATAGAATCAATCTGGTATTTGTAGACCTCACTTTAATGTCTTGCTTTCTCTCACATCACACATGTTTATATAAGAGTAAAATACTTGTATATAACACAAGAGTAGGTAGTACTATGTGGGAGGTCAGATATTTTTATATAAAGGACAATTATAACTATTTAAAGTGTACTTACGCATGATATGTATTTACAACCCTAAACTGATGACCCAGTTTTTTTACACTGAGCCAGTATACATCACAGTAAAGGGCAGTAACTCTTCTGGTCTAGTCATCTTAAATTTCTTCTGTCTCTGTTTGGAGATGAAGCGTCAATTAAGTGGTTCTAAAGGTAATCTAACACTATACAAGATTTTAAATGTCCAATCCAGGTTCTGAGAAGATTTGGTAATATGCTTTCTCAGTATTAGATGACGACTAAGTGAGGAATTGACAGTGACAATGAAGTGGTAGTTTAATCTGTTATCTAGTAATTTGTAAAACTTATAGAATAAAATTAATGAATTGAAATGAATTGTGTTAATAAAGTAAATATTGGGTTTTGGATAAGCTGACCATGGACTTATTGAAGTGGTCCAAGGAGCAACAGTCACATGTTTTATTACATCATTGTCCCTGCAAACATATGAATTGTTTTTATTTGTGAACTTCTATAATATTAATCTCTTATGATGTAATTATATATCAATTAGCTTAAAAACTTGTGTAGATATTGACCTTACAACAGTGACAGTAGATGGTTACAAGATGACATAACTGTTATATCTGTAGGAAACATTTGTGATCAGAAAAGGGAAAAAACTATTGTTTGATTATAAATTTGTTTCTTTATCTTAGGAGTTAGATAAAAGTTGGAGCTTTATCGAGCACTTCGTGCCTCACTGGTGTGAAATGTTTTATATTCATTAAGATTGTATCTGTATATGAAATGGAAACTGATGCTGTGTATTAACTTGGATATGTACAATAATTGATTTAGTAGGAAACTAATAAACAGAAATAACATTTCATTTTTTGCTCACATTTTTCATCTCCTAATCTGTTAATAGGTCAAGGTTTACCTGATGAAAGTCAAGTCCTAAGCTAGCATATCTGACAGATCAAAGTCACTAGAAACTCTGTTATACTTTTTATTTTTATTTTATTTTATGAAGTACCACTGGATTGTTAAATAACAGCATCAAATTTTTAAGGTTACTAAAATTCCTTTTTGTTGTTGAAGTTTTCCAGTTTTAAAATTTGATATATTTTGAAGTGTTGTAGTGATGTTTATTTTGGAAGTAGTTGAAGAGGTATACATTATGTATATTGGAATGGGTGTGGGGAATTAAGGTTACTAGATCTATCTTATTGTTAACAGACTGGTTATTTTATTGACGATGGTGAGCTCTGCTCTTAACCTGCATAGTTATGATAAGAGTTTTATACTTTTGTTTCCTTTTTTATACTATGATTCTGTAACTTTAAAGAAACAGTATTGTCAGGTATTAATTTGTTTAAATTGTGGTAGTTTTAGTTTTTGTATGTTATGTTTGTATTACAGAAATCCAATGATTATATACATATGCTATTGTATAGTAGTTATCATTATATGTTATTGTGGTGCTTCTAACTTTGTTTGTTTGTTTCCTGGAAACCAAGATTCAGGAAATCGGATGTAAATTTCAATGCTGAATCTTATTATAGGAAAATTGAGGTATGTGTTTTAGAGATTATAAGAGGAATTACTTTAAGGACAGTTATTTAGATGCTAGTGATCTGGACAATCTACCTATACAAAATGATTTTTTAAAAATATTTCATGAACATTCAAGGATAAAGACATCCAAACTGTCAATCACATGGACTAAGTATTTATGTTGGAAATTACGTGATTTATAGAGTTTGATTCAGGTTGAACTTTTCTGAGTGGTGTTCTGTGGTATAAATGAGAGGAATATTGTTGATTGTTGCTAAGATATGTTTTGTGAATCAAGATACTCTTATTTTAACTAACACAAGTTTTAATTAAACACATTGTTAGGTATTTAAATATGACTATTAATATTTTCGTGATGGCAAACCGAAGATTTCAAGTTTTATATCATTGCAAAAACATCTAAGGTATTATAATTGTTCAAACTTACTGTTTTTATCCACAATTAAGCTTAGCCTACGACTGCAATAAGCCCACCATATCTTTTGCTGTTTGGTAAAATTAATGCTAGTTAATGCCTCCACCTGACTTTGTGTCCATGGTAATGTGTTGATCCCCTGAGCTTATTGTAAAGAATAAAGCCCCTATTGGAAGCTCCCCAGCCCAATTGTTTTGTGTCTGTGATAATGTGTCAGCCTCCTGGGATTCTTACAGGATAGTGGAAAATGGTTCCTAACCTGTTATACATCTACAAGGGCAACTGTCATGTTATCAGTTGGAGGATATCATCTGTTTTGTTTTTTCTCTGCTAGAGATGTTTTAATTTGATACTAAATTACAAATTGACCTAGAGAATGATAAGGATGGGGTCTCCATTTGTCCACACTTTTTAGACCAATGAGAAAGATATTGTTCTTGGGAGTGATTAGCTGTCTACCAAACATTTTTCATTGCTAACTTGACTGTTATGTCAGAAGTAAAAATCTTACTTTGGTGTTATTTCTTAGTATTGCTCATTTTCCCTAAATAGCAAGTTATTTTCTTGAAGTGAAAATAAAAATGGGACATTAATGATCCATATGTGCTAGCTATCACATGGAAGTTTAATGATCCATATGTGCTAGCTATCACATGGAAGTATAGGCACCCAGAAGGACACCCCTTCTGGTCAGTTTCGAAGAGATGTTTAATGATATTTTCATTGTAGACAGAATGGTCTGTATGAATGATGGGATATCAGTTAATTGTCTTATAACATAAAGAGATTAACTAGATGTTTGTATAATATCTATACTATTTGTATGTATGTTGGCATGTCAAGAGTTGTATTAAAGCATACAAATCGTATGATTACCATAACATTGATGTAGCATACAAATTGTATGGCTACCAAAATGCTGATGTATTGTAGCATACAAATTGTATGGCTACCAAAATGATGATGTATTGTTGCATACAAATTGTATGGCTACCAAAATGTTGATGTTTTGTAGCATACAAATTGTATGGCTACCAAAATGTTGATGTATTATAGCATACAAACTGGCTACCAAAATGTTGATGTATTATGTAACATACAAATTGTAAGACTACCAAAATGATTATTTACTTTAGCATTCAAATTGTATGGCTACCAAAATGCTGATGTATTATAGCATGCAAATTGTATGACTACCAAAATGTTGATGTATTATGTAACATACAAATTGTATGGCTACCAAAATGCTGATGTATTATAGCATGCAAATTGTATGACTACCAAAATGTTGATGTATTATGTAACATACAAATTGTATGGCTACCAAAATGTTGATGTATTATGTAACATACAAATTGTATGGCTACCAAAATGCTGATGTATTATAGCATGCAAATTGTATGACTACCAAAATGTTGATGTATTATGTAACATACAAATTGTATGGCTACCAAAATGTTGATGTATTATGTAACATACAAATTGTATGACTACCAAAATGTTTATGTATTATGTAACATACAAATTGTATGGCTACCAAAATGTTTATGTATTATAAAATATACTAAATGTATGGCTACCTGAATGTTGTTGTATTTCAGCATACCAATTATATGAATACTGGTAGGTCATTGTTATACCCCTTGCAAAGGAGTTGGGAGGAGAGATTATACTGGAATCACACTGGGTGTCTGTCATCCACAAATATTATTGAGAGTTGCCTCTTAAATCAGTGAACCGATTTCAATGAAACTGAATATCAGTATATTAAGGATCATATGTAAATGTACATTAGAAAGCAAAACAAAAATTGTTTACGTAATATTGGTTGTCATGTTTAGAACTAATTCCAATGAAACTTCATAATATCAATAAAAGGGTCATATGTAAAATGTGCAAGCATTATTATTATTTTTTTTTTTTCCATATCTTTGATTGCCATGGTATTTGAAAACAGGTTTATTTTATTATAAAAGGCCATTTCTCTTTGGTCATTCAACAGGGTTTTTTTGGCTATACCATTATAAAGCAGAGTTAATTGGACATGAACAAGGAGTCAACTGACTCAATGTAAAGGTCATTGCCTCAAAGTTAAAGGTAAGGGGTCAAGGTCAAATTTTGTATCTTTTCACTGATGCATATTTTATTAAGGCATTATGGAGCAAAGTTAGTTGGAATTGAATAAGGAGTCAACTTATCAAAAATCAAGGTCATTGGGTCTGAGCTCAAGGTCAATGTTTGGTCAATATCTGCCATAGTTTTAAACACAAACCCTAATAATTTTCCACAAAGCTAGCAACCCAAATGTGGGGAGTCTAAGCTAGCCCCTAGACAGCATTTCTAGTTTTAGAATAACAAAGTACAATTTGTATGTATGGTGGTATGTGAGAGTGTTGTTGTAACATACAAATTGTACATGTGGATACTACTATATCATACAATGTGTGGGTAATAGTTTATTTTGTATTTGTGTTTAGAATTACAACATACAACATGGGGCAGGTTGATGTATTATAACATAAACTGTGTAACAAGTGGGATTCAGGTGTTGAAAAAGGTTGGTTGAAGCATATGATTTACATATTATTTACAGCACATCTGTAGGCTTTACTTTGAACAGGTTTCAAATTGATCCATAGTCAATAGCATATTCTTAAAAGATCATTAAAAAGAATGACATTCATGCTAGTTGGTTTCATGCCATGTTTATACTTCAATAAGCCCCATTTCATGTAATCAACCTTCTCATTGGAATAGACAACATTCAAGCTAGTTAAACTTGACATATAAATCCTTCAATAAGCCCCATGTTGTGTAATCACTTTTCTCTTACCTATAGATATATCTGGGGATCAGAGGTTAAGCATTGGCCCCTTGGGCTTATTGAAGGATAGATGTTGTCAAGGCTCATGCTGCTGATACTGATGCAGTTCACATCGGTGAAAAGTTGAAAACTGGAAATGTGAGCCTCCAGGAAGTAGACCTTATGAGGTTCATGTTAGTGGTGTCCTTTAGGGACAGTTGTAAGACATGTATCTGAAGTTTATGGTCAGAATGAATCACTCAAGTTTAAAACTCATCAAAGATCAAGTTTTCATTTTCAGTGGGTTTTTAACTTGGCGTGTTGATAACTACTGTTAAGGTTTTCACATGTGTATAATGCCAAGAAATCTCACAAACATCACTTATTTTTGTTAGATATATATATATCTACTACCATCCTTGTTCTTCCTTACATGATTCAATATACCTTTTGAATTACCATAGCCTCCTACATATCCTCCAACATCTATGTACAAGCCAGCCCCTGTCACATCCTTGTCAGTCTCACTTAAATCATTGTAGGCCCCTATATACCCTTTTGGATCATTGTTGATCATATATACCTGCCTACATCATTCTTGGTCCCTATACACCCATCTTTATCAGTGTTGGTCCATGTATACCACTTACATCATTGTAGGCCCCAGTATTACCACCTACATCATTGTAGGCCCCTATATAACCACATACGTCATTGTAAGCACCTACTTAACCACCTTTATCATTGTAGACCCCTATACATCCACTTTTATCATTGTAGGCCTCTATTTAACCACCTACATCATTGTAAGCCCCTATATAACCACCTACATCATTGTAGGCCCCTATATAACCACCTACATCATTATAGGCCCCTATATAACCACCTACATCATTGCAGGCCCCTATATAATCACCTACATCATTGTAGGCCCCTATATCACCACCTACATCATTGTAGGTCCCTATATCACCACCTTTATCATTGTCGACCCCTATATCACCACCTTTATCATTGTAGGCCCCTATATCACCACCTACATCATTGTAGGCCCCTATATCGCCACCTACATCATTGTAGGTCCCTATACATCCACCTACATCATTGTAGGCCCCTATATCACCACCTACATCACCGTAGGCTCCTATATAACCACCTACATCATTTTAGGCCCCTATACATCCACCTACATCATTGTAGGCCCCTATATCACCACCTTTATCATTGTAGGCCCCTATATAACCACCTACATCATTGTAGGCCCCTATATAACCACCTACATCATTGTAGGCCCCTATACATCTACCTACATCATTGTAGGCCCCTATATAACCACCTACATCATTGCAGGCCCCTATATAATCACCTATATCATTGTAGGCCCCTATATCACCACTTACATCATTGTAGGTCCCTATATCACCACCTTTATCATTGTCGACCCCTATATCACCACCTTTATCATTGTAGGCCCCTATATCACCACCTACATCATTGTAGGCCCCTATATCGCCACCTACATCATTGTAGGCCCCTATATCACCACCTTTATCATTGTAGGCCCCTATATAACCACCTACATCATTGTAGGCCCCTATATCACCACCTTTACCATTGTAGGCCCCTATATAACCACCTACATCATTGTAGGCCCCTATATCACCACCTGCATCATTGTAGTCCCCTATATAACTACCTACATCATTGTAGGCCCCTATATCACCACCTTTATCATTGCAGGCCCCTATATCACCACCTTTATCATTGTAGGCCCCTATATCACCACCTTTATCATTGCAGGCCCCTATATCACCACCTTTATCATTGTAGGCCCCTATATCACCACCTACATCATTGTTGACTCCTGTATACTTGCCTACATTATTATTGGTTTGCTTTATAGAGTGACAGATGTTTGGGTTGGTAGTCTGGCAGATGAGTTCAAGAATGTGTGATGATTTATTTTAGAGATGAAAGAAATTGATAACTTGGTCTTGTTTTAGGAATAACAAATAAAATGACCTAAAAATGCATAGATTTGTTGTTAAGTTTTCTTTTACACCCAACCTTTCACATATATAAACACATAACCACCAAGATTTTGATTTAGGTCAAGTGTAGGATATGCAGTTTAGATTGAGATATTGTTGATGTGTGGGATATGTAGGTTACGAAATGTTTTGATTTTGGTATTGTAGAGTATGTAGTATATGGAATATGTAGTTAATGATTTAATGCTATAGTGTATGGGTTATATAATTTAAGGTAATATCCAGATTTTAACATATATTATTACGGCTGTGTAGTATATAGAATTTGTAGATTTTCATACTGTAATATGTGCAGTTTATGGAATATATATGTTTTGGTATTGGATATGTGTGTAATGTAGTATATAGGAAGTAAGATTCCGTTTAGGTAGTGTTTGGGATATGTAGTTTTCAATTAAATTATGCAATCAATAGCCTATGATATTTTGGAAAATTTGTTCAAAATTTTATATCAATGTGACAAGTCTATTTTTTACAATACTGTAGAAGAAAAGTCTGTGATGTCAGTCACTTATATCATCAGTAGTAACTCAAAGTGGGATACCCGCAAAAACAAAATGACACTTCAGTACCTGGTGTGGCCACCTCTTGCATGAATCCTTGCATGGATTCTCTTATGCATTGAATTCATGAGAACATTAACTCGCCTTAAGAGAATGTTGTTCCATTCTTGTGTTAATGCCGAGATCAACCAGGTGCGGTTAGTTTTGGGGTTTTGATGTTTCCTTACACACCTGTCCAGCTCATCCCACTGAAGCTTAATGGGAGACATGTCGGGGTTATATGGGGACCATTCCAGAGGCTGAACATTGTTTGCCGTGAAAAAATGCGGTGGAGCATTGTCCTGCTGGAAAATTAGGTTATGATGTCTGAGAAATGGAAGAACAGTGGTGATTGGGATATTTAGTATATGAGTTATGTACAGTATTGATTGGGATTTTAATATGTGGGATATGTATATGTGATATATCAGTTATATGTGCTATTTGTAGTTATTTGGCTTGGCACAGTTATATTTTGGGAAGTAGATGGGATAGGTAGAATTGGAGATGAATAGTTGTGGAATATGTCAGATTTGACATTGGTAATACGGGTTACATTTAGCTTATGGGATACAAGAGGTATGTCGTGTCCCGGATAATTGGTATGATGGATGTGTGTTTTATGTACAGCCGGATAAGTAGTTTGTGGGATATCTGGTATGCAGGTGTATCAGAATATATGTTTGTTTTGGGGGGGGGGGGGAGGGGGAGGGGGTTGTGTGTAGGATATGTAGAGTTAGAGATAAGGAAAATCTATAAATTTTTAGTATCTATGGGTACTACAACCGATTGTGTGCGTTTTGTAAGTAAAATATATTTGTGATATATTTTATGAAGTACAAATTTACGTGTGCATTAGACACATGTGTCAAAGAGATTTTAAGAAAAGATATTTTACAAAAGAAATGAATATACCAGTTTTAATGTCCACATTCGGTCATACAACGAGTTCAGTAGGTGCACAAGCCAAATTTACGTGTATATATGTTGTGTATCTAGTAATTATGAACTGTGGTTTAATTGGACAACCTATGACTAAGGGATGCTGTTAGGCTGATAAGTGGAAAAACAGTGAAAATTTCCATTGTGTAGGTCGGGATTCGTGACGCAACATTGCGTTAGAGTGTTATGTTATTTAAACGCGCGCAGTAAGTAAAATGCTGCTTTCTCTCCACTGTCGATAAGTGTAGTCATCAGCTCTACAGTCATAAGGGTGCGGTAGAAAAAACAATAACAGTCATACGATACAATTGAGAATTGATGCGTGACTGAAAAAGTACATCATACTGACGCAGGGTTTCGCACTTGTAAATTGTTTATTGACGTCATGGTAAGTTTTTTTTATCGTATCATTGGCGCATTAGTTTTTCGGGAGCCTTTAAGAATCGGTTTTTCGCTAGCTACGTTATGTTGATGACCTTCCACCAAACAAATACACAAATTACTTGAAATGTGTTCACACTGTAAGATTTTAAATAAATCAGATTTATTTAAAAACTGACCGCTGAAAGACTAGTATTTTTCTTAAAAAAAATCTCCAAAGATACCATCTGAGAGTCACGAGAATTGATTGACATGTGCATACATATCGGACATGTGACTGCACTTCCGTTTCTAATGACATCCCTCAATCACAGAAACGACCGAGTTAGTTTAATGTAGCCCTGAAATATTACATAAGTATTAACTTTTTAAAATTAAAAACATGAAGTTTTACATAAAAAAAAATCATTTGAATGTGAAGGACATTTTGATGAAAAAAAAATTGAAATATACATATTTCTCGGGCGAATTCAACATTTTTCGATAAACATTTTAATGCGACGACAAAATAAACCTCGACGAACAGTGTTTAGTAATGCTATTAATGTTTCCCGAAATGCACACTCTTTATACCGCTAAATAGGACGAGATCGTATTGATTTTAAATAAACTTTTCATTTGTTATCGCCTTATTTGCATGAAGTGAATGTATAACAACATATGGGTTTTATCACACAGGGAAGGTGAATGAACATCTACAAAACGTTTCAAACCCGATCTTATTAGATCAAATTGCCAATTTTTCTTATATGCCGATGCACCTTGAGAAATGCAAAAGGCATATCAGCCGATCATTATTTCAGCTTGACCTCGTCTTATTTGTGTTATAAAATTAATACTTATGTTTGCTATATAAAATTCTTTATGAACGAGATGGATGCACGTTTTAAAATATTACATTGACGGCATATTGTGGCGGTTGTCGACCGAAATAAAAAAAAAATAGGGCAGTACATGTAACTCGGTAAGTAGCCATTTCGTTGCCGCACGCATAGGCTTTACATAGTAATTTTCCTTTTACACTAGACTTCGTTCGCATACCCTGAATCGTAAAAGGAACTTAGATATATGTTATGACGCCACGGTGGAGAAGGGAACGTGCCGGTGGAGCGTGGAGGTCGCCCATAAACGGATCGAGGCTTGCAACGACCTCCACGCTTCTCCACGTTTCTCCGTGGAGCGTGGAGTCGTGGTGGAGAGCTCCACGGTGTAGCGCGGAGTGTTGATTTCCTCCACGCTGGAGCACTCCACGGTGGATGGTGGAGAACGATCCTATGAGGATGAATTGTAGTGTACTTGTATATTTCCGTTTTGCGTAAACAATATATATGTTTAATCAGTGACGTATATATCACGTGCTATTTATATCTCTGGTTTTTACCTACTGATTACAGATAGGCGTTTATATTTAGAACTATGCAATTTTTGGATACGTGCGTTTAAGTTATAAGCTTATCGTTCATATTATCATTTGATTCAGTTTTGTGTGAAGATCTGCTTGAAACGTTGTAATCTTCGGAGTTCCGTTAGCCGTGCGGGGTATGTCAAACGGGTAACTTTTCAGAACGCACTTGATTATTTAATACAATATCTTGAATATCATCAGATATGACGAAATAATTCAAATAACGTATCATACTACCTCCATTTTTTAATTTAGTCATTTTTTCAGTTACTTAATTACCACACTACTTATCATAGCCGCTTAAAATCTAATTCTCAATGTCGTTGTTTGTCTCTGTGTGTGTATTTTAGTTGCTTATTTTCATACTAATTTTCATTGCCATTTAAAGTAAGACGAACCAGCGGTATGTTATTGTTTCTATCACTTAATTCATATTGGGAGGGGTTTACCATTTATGTGTATATTGTGTAACACCTTGAAATACATAGCCACCAGTAAAGCATGTGTTCTAGTCATTGAGTAGTTTTGTCTTCTTTTTTCTAGAAACGACGAATTCGCCGAATGGATGATTAAAAAAATAAATAAAGGATGACAATAGAGTGTCCCTGTGGCAACGACGAGCCAAGCCGTTTTCTGGTCTATGAACAATCGTTAGGTGTGTTCTGCAAACGTTGTAAAAAAGAATGGCTGTCAAACACGGAAATCAATCCGGACTCTACAGATGAAGGACCGGGAGTTAAACGCGTTCGGGTTTATAGACCCAGAGATACGTCTCAATATAAACTGCACGAAAACAATGTCCTGATGGTACAGAGTTCGCGTATCCGTGAAACCGATATAAGTCAACTAAAGATCGGTGACCACATTGCCTTCCACCGTCCTTATATCATATGGCA